ATGATATTTTGATTTCTGCTTGAATAAGTTGATTAAATTTAAGGCTTCGCTCATTCCCAACCCATTTCGCATAAATTTTCGGTAAATTAACAAGATTAAACTAAATATTAATGTTTTGGAAAAGTTTTTTTTGAAAATGTACTTTATTTTTATAATATAACACAACCGTCTTAATACTCGCTCTACTAAATTCAATATTACCGAAATGAAAATGCCGTCGGCATATGTGTAAAGGGGATATGTTGCCTCTTCGAAATTTTCATAGAAATGCGCTAAACTGCTGTGTTGCCTTCAATATATGGCACGAACAATTTTCTTTGACTTCACAAAATTTCATCGATTTATCTCTAGTAGTATATGAGAAAACAATTTTATTAGGCACTAAATTTCAATCTTCTATAACTTTAACAAAAAATAGAGTTTTGAAAAATTATTTATATCACGGGGTATGCGTTTTCTCCCCTTCCTAATGAACTGCTAATGTTCAAAATCGGTGATTTTGTGAAATTTCCATGGACCTCTTGACGTAGTTTGGCTCACTCCTTATTTGCTTGCTGCTTTTTTGCTTTTAGAAATTACAAAATCTATTTAGAAATTACAAAATCTATTTAAAACTTACCTTGCTCAACAATTTAACGGCGAAATATTTTACTAAACTGTTTTTCTTCTATATGAATATTCAGCTGCTGGCGTACGCCTATGATATTGATTTCGTTGCGCTCAACAAGCGCGCCGTTGGTTCTGCTTTCTTCAGAATGGATAAGGAAGGGAAGAAAATTGGTCTGTTGGTGAACGAGGGCAAGATAAAATATCTCCTGTCAGCAACCAAACATTCGTCGCTTATTAACAGCAACAACAATGTCAGCCTCGAATGCCAACGCAGAATAACTCTTGCCAACAACATGAACGATGACAACATCTGATGAGTCGACGTTACGAGTTTTCGAGAGATAGGTTCGGCGGAATATCGTTTGCGCGTTGGCCACGGCGAATATCGCTTTATATGGAACGATGAGCTGTATGAGATATACGACGACGTTGACATAGTTCAGGGATTTAAAAGACAGCTGTTACCCTGGCTAGGGCAAGAAACGACTGGTGCGCTGCTATTTACCCGGGTTTTACCATTGTAGAAATATACAAGTAACAAAAGAATCATATGGTCGTGAACAGCTGAGATCACTTGATCGAAGTAGTTGATTTTTCGGCACAGAGATTCAAATAAAAGTACTTAAAAATAATAAAGAGGTTGCAATATAGGCGCGTTACCGATATTTTTTGGGTAGTAAGTTCCCCTAGGCCTATTTTCACCAATATAATATATACAATACTAAACAAAACTATTTGTAATAATTTAAACAAAGATAGATATATTCTTCAAATATTTTTAATAAAATAGAAAATATTTACCAATATTTTGATACAATAAATAAAATTTTAATCAAAACTAGGTAAATTTAATCTTTATTAATTCTAATAATCGAAATTCATTTGAAAATTTAACAACAACGTACTTAAAATAATAAATTGGATAGCATAACACGGCCACACACTCGTGTCTTTTCCAAGGCATTTGGCCGTTTTAGTAGTAGAATATTTAGGAAACCCTATCGAACTGCCTGGGCTTTTGCCCTAAGTCTTCCCTCATTCTATTGCATTCTTAATGTAATTTCTGTCATTCTATAAGCTTTCGCCTGCGTATGTATGGGTGAAAAGGATAGGATTTGTTACTTGTAGGTTTATTGAATGGGTTTTACCGCGTTAGCAGCGTCTACGCAAGAAGAAGAAATGTATTAATTTACTAATTTTTAATATTCACACTATTTGTACATGTAAGCTTATTTAATAATAATATTTTAAATTAATTAATTTAGAACCATTAGTATTAAGTAATTTAAATATAATAAAAAAATGTTAAACAATTTTCGCGAACATAACATTTACAGCAATTAATTGTTCGTCCAAAAATGCTATACCATATTCCATTTGAAGTGCAAAGCGTTCACTCAACATTTTGTAATATATTTTTTGTTCTGTTTTGGTTATTAACATAATTGTTCTAGTTTCCGGCGGATAATGCATTTATCTGACTTTATCAAAAATGTTGAAAAATGTAATGTGCAAGTTATTTGTTTATACCTACTTCCATATTTCATTTAGTGGGTATGTGCCGTCTGTGTGGAAAGTACCCATACAAGCAACTTCATGGTATTTATTTAATCACTGATTTTCGGAATTTTTTTTAATGTATGGAATTAACTAATCGGTTCGTTTTTTTTATAAATAAATACATTCATGATGATTACAAAATGATTGTTTTTATATTTATTTATTGGATGTATAATAGTTAAATGAATTGTTGAAATGGCATATAAAAAAAGCTCCTGTACGATGTCTATGATGGCGATAATTTTTATATAAAAGAGAAATTTTAAAAAGAATATTAGTCTGCAGAAAACTCGCTATCGCGCTATGGAAAGTTTCTCTTTTTTGTTTGAAATTTGAAAAATAAGAAGATTAAAAAAATGCTTCCATAGCGTGATAGAGAATGGCGTTAAAAATGTTCTTTACAAATTTGGAACGAGATATCTTCAAAACTCTTCCTTTGAAAGTGGAAACCATTTTGAAAAACACCATTCTGAGAAAACCTCATTCAAAGATTGGAGTTGCTCAGTTACTCTGTTCCCTTTCTACAAGAAACGCTGCAGCCACCATAATAATTTGAATTTCGATTGAATTTGAGGGAATGTTTATTACGGAGTGTACGATCCTATAATGCAACAAAAAAATCGATTTTATGAAAATTTCACATTTAGACGATTCCATAAAGCATTCATACGATAATCTTCGGAACCAACTTAATAGTTGGGACATTGTCTAAATCGTTGCAATCTTGGTGTTGTTATATCTTATGATGGAAAGGCACGATGAGCGAGCTGTAAATGGGCAGGAGTCCAGCTTTCAACATATTTCCAACGTTGTCAACAATAGCAAAAGACGTGTAGGAGTCGGCCTTCGAAGCGTCAGTAAAAATTAATTGCCAATCTACGTAGTGTTGCACAATGAGCTCTTTGAACAAACTTTGATATACCCTGGAATTGGTGTTATTTTTATGACGTTTTTGAAGATGTGGCTCGAACGAAGATTCTTTGAGTAGCCATGATGGGGCAGAAGAAATAGACTTTTCCTCAGGTGTAGTTGTTATACCTAGATCCTTAGCTAATTTAATGAATTTAGTAGAAGAAGTATTGGAGTTTGTATYGTCGGTCCATTTGGCTTTTACTACCATATAAGAGCTACACGGCAGAAGCAGCAGCCATCTATAATGCGCTATCCCTAGTACAAAACTCTAACTTAAAAACATTAATATGTACTGATAGCAAGTCTACAATCTCAGATCTCCTAAATGCATTTAACAAATCCTATCTCATTGCGCAAATTAGAAACATACTAGTTGGGAAAACAAATATAAAAATTATGTGGATCCCTGGACACGCCGGTATTACCGGAAATGAATGAGCCGATCATAACGCCAAATTGGCGACAAAACAGCCATTGATTGTTTTCGACTACATCGAAAAAGCGACATAATCCATTTAATGAATGCCCCTTCTTAAATTCAGCAAGGACCAGTATATTTCAGAATAATAAAGCTCTTAATTTATTAAAAATAACGTCTATTGTAAACATCACTAAAATATCTGAATATCTATCTCGTACAAAGTTAGGGAAACGTATTTAAGTTATCCTTCCTTTTTATAATTTTTTTTTAACATATATTTTTAGTTCATAAAAACATATTGCTTGTAAATAATTCTTAAATGGAAGGCGAAGTGGAGAGAATTAAAGTGATGGAATAATAATTAATAAATTCAAGAATCTTAAATATTTGCAAAATTAATTTAAAAATGCTTTTCACGGAGATTGCCTACAAGCAGAGAACGTATATATATAGAAGGTCCAACAACGGACAAGCGTGTAAACTGTCAAAAGCTAACAAAATGCGATGAGCGTGTTTCACCCCAACTAGCTAAAAAGGAGAAATTTTTAACAGCTCCGCGCAGTGTGACCATTTTACCATTTTTGCAGCTAAATTTAGCTTTTTTCTGTATTTAGCCACAAAATTTTCATTTAGCATTTAGCATTTTTCTTAGCTTTTTGCGATTATTAGTTTAGCATTTTTTAGCATTATTCTATGCAAAAAATTTCAAATGTTTTATTACATTTTTGTATAAATAAAATCTGATAATTTTTGGTTGACTACATATTTATACATATAACCATGGCAACCATTTGCGTAGTGATTAAAAAATAAAATCTGGCATCACAGCTCAATAGAACAGCTGTGTTTTCATTCATCTCTAATAAAACAAAAAATAGCAGTGTGTTTAACATAGACAATGGAAAGGTTGGTAGTTAACTAAAAAATTGAATTATGTGTAAATTTAAGTAATCATAATGATTTTTATAGGTATCATAAAAGAAGTGACCCAAATGATTTAGATATTGACGAAGTTAGCAGTGACTCCGAAGAAAGCACGTGCCGGCCCAGCACCAGTAAAAGGTAAATAAATGCTTATTCCGTGTGTTAAAAATGCACTAAAAATCATATACTCGTAAATATTGCAGAAAATATACCCAAAGAACCAGAAAAAGCTGGTTTAATGATCCGAGTGGATTGTCGAGCTAAATGATCAGGAGGTAAAGTGTAAATACTGCCATTGTACTTTAAAACCAAAACTAAGTACACTTCGTACTTAAGGAAAAACTTCTAAGCATTTAGCAGCAGCATCGAATTTCACAAAAAACAATAAAAAAAAAACACTCGATTTTCACCCACTAAACAGCAATTCCAAAGTAAAAGCAGCA